TGGATTTTTTTTACTTAAAATCACCTGATTTTTAGAATGTTGCTTTGATTTTAAAAAGGGTGCTGGTCAAGCAAAACACATCTGTGGGCTAGCTCTGGACTGCAGATCCGATCTGTGACCTCTGCTTTAAAAAACAAAGTATTTCCAAATATTTATGGTTTCTTAATTCCCCTCATGATCTAAGAGAAGCATTGCGTCAGCGTTAGTGAGATGTCAGCGTCAGCCCAATTCCCTAAGAATACAAGAAATGCCACATTGAGTCAGACCAATGGTCTAATCGGCTCAATGTTTGGTTTCTCGGACTGGCACCAAGGGACCTTTCGGGAAAGATTTAGAACCTAATCTCTTTGACTCCATTCTCAGAAAGCTAGGAAAATCCTGAAAGCACTTCTGGTTTTCTTCTTTTCGATTTATAAAATATTTCAAGTGCAGGAAATATTAGAATAAACAATACGTCTCCTAAAGATGTGTTAAAAAGATTTGATAAAGCTAGCTTTCTCATAGCTTAGCATTTGATCGTAGCTGCTTCAGATATATTTTTTAAATTTTAAAATGTGGATACTGTTGGTGCTCTTCGTTACTATTCTTTCCCCAGAGGTAACCATCACCCCAAACTTCATGTGGATCATATTCATGTGTGTTTTTCCAGCTTAAAAAAAAAGGTAAACCTTCACCCATTAGTGTAGTTTAAAAACCTGAACCATTTACAGGTATAGGCACAACTTGAACAACTTCTGAAGTTGTGGAAAAAGGAAATCCAGATTAAGGGAACCATTCGTTAAGTCATTTAATCTTTCCACAGATTAAGTTTTCTCCTGGGATAATGATCTTTGTCCTACCCACCCAACTTGGGTGGGAAGACAATAACACACAATCATGAAAATGAATGTTCTTTGGAAAAAGACAAAGTGTTATCCACATGCAAAGTTCTAGCACTTTTATTAATGGATTCCTTATGTGTCTTACTTGCTTCACAAAGTACTAGTTTATTTTATTTGTCCTCAGACAAAGTTGAGGGAGTGGCCCCCGTTCACACTGAATAAGAGCTTTCCTTCCCAGCTTGGTTTGATAAGCTTTGATTACAGTCTTTCTTAGTCTTTGTCTTTCGAGACAAAGACGTAGAATTGTTTTATTCTTTCCCAAAAAGAAAATTGTTCTGTTACATTTTTGTAATTGTTTTCCTAAGCCTTTCCCAAGTCTGTTGTATCTTTCTGGAGGCACACTAATAACGTTGCCTGCAGTATTGCAAGTGCAAAAAGTTTTGCTTAGGCAAAGATTTATTCAAGAAATTGGCAAACATAATGACATGTAAGTAAAAAACAAGACAAAACCCAACCATATCAAAACCACAATGAGCTACTTCCTCATACCCATGAGGATGGCTGTTATCAAAAAACCCCAGAAAATAACAAGTGTTAGCACGGATGTGGAGAAATTGGAGCCCTCGGGCACTGTTGGTGGGAATATAAAATAGTGCAGTTGCTAAGGAGAACAGTATGGTGGGTCCTCAAAAAATTAAAAATCGAATTATCAAATTGTCCAGCAATTCCACTTCTGGGTACACACCCCAAGGAATTGAAAGCAGGTCTCCAAGAGATATTTATGTACCTATGTTCATAGTACCATTATTCACAATAGTCAAAAAGGGGAAGGAACCCAAATTTCTATGAACAGATGAATGGATAAACAAAATGTGGTATATACATACAATGGAGTATTATTTAGCCTTCAAAAGGAAGAAAATTCTGAGACATGCTACAACATGGATAAACCTTGAGGAAGGACATTATGCTAAGTGAAATAAGTCAGTCACAAAGGACAAGTACTGTATGATTCCACTTATATGAAATACCCAGAGCAGTCAAATTCTTAGAAACAGAATGCAGAATGGTGGTTGCCAAGGGCAGGCGCTATGGGGAGTTACTTTTAGTGGGTATAGAACTTCAATTTTGTAAGATGAAAAGAGTTCTGGAGATTGATTGCACAACACTGTGAATGTACTTAACACTCCTGAACTGCACACTTAAAAAGGCTTAAGATGGTAAAAAATCAAAAACCAAAAGCCAGCTAAAGTCTACAGCAATAAGATCCAAGAAGAATTATGAGAACATTACAATAGTCTAGGCAAAAGTCTCCGTCACGCAGTACCCTCAGCCAAGAGCAGACTTTTTCCGCTGAGAAAGGTCTTTTCTAGACATTTGACTCATGGCTCACTGTGGTTCACCGTCAACGTGCTTTGCCAACGAGATAACAAGACCCATCTATGTTTCTGTTCTCTCTCAGCACCTGGACCATCACTATGCATTCACAGGTTGTTTTTAGGAAGGGCTCAATATTTATTTGTTGAAGGACTGATTGACGGAAGGGATCATGGTTAAGCGTGTAGCTGTAGACACTGAGGCTGAACACAGGTCCTAGTTTCACCCTTCACCAGCTCACGACAGCCTACGTGACTTCTCCAAGCCTCATTTTTCTCATGCAAAAATTGAGGAGAGTAATAGTAACTACTTCATAGCACAATCGTGAAGGTTAAATGAGCGAATGCTTAGCATGGGATCTGGCTAGAAAAATCCAAGTAAGAGGTAAAGACGAACATGTAGAAAACAACTGGGTTAACTGAAGCTGGTCTACAACCCTTCAGCATTATATTCACACGCCTCCCACAGAAGCCAGTACGTAGTAATTGCTCCGTAAATAGTTACTGACTGAATGAATTAACAAGACTGTAAGGGTGAAATTGGGAATTCTGTTAAAGATGACATTATCAAACAATTCCTTAATTTATTTTCAACACAAGGATGCATATTGAAGAGGTAGAACCAGTCAGATACCCATATTCGTTTACGGGAATTGGGTTAGCCTTTGTAGGCTCTCGTGGATCCATTTCAAGTTAATTTAGCACCTACTATTCCCAGCAGCAGGAATGCAACACAAAACAAAACACGCTCCTGCCCTCTAGCAGCTGTCAGTCAAGAGGAAGAGACAGATACGGAGGCATGTGGTGGATTAAGGGCCATGCTGGAGGCAAGTCCAAGGGCATGCAAAGTTCCATCCATCCTGCTGGAGGGGAGGATGGTTGTGGTGAGGAAAGATGCCCGAGGGTGAGGCATCTGAATTGGGTCATGAAGAACAGGTAGACCTCCAGGTGGAGAAAGGGGAAAAGGCTGAGGGGATGAGATGTGCAAAGGCATGAAATACAGGTGAGGGAGACGAAGCGGCTAGACACCTTGAGGGAAGTGTAAGCTATTTCCACGAAGCATTGAGGAGGCGTGGGGAAAGGGAAATAGCCTCACAGAGATAGGCAGGGCCAGATGGCCCAGAGCTCATTTGCCTACAACGAGAGAGGCTTAATCCTCTGGGAAAGGAAAACCATGGAGAGTTGTAAGCAGAAGAGATCTGGTCAGATACTTGAAAGGTAACTCTGGCGATGGAGTGAAGAATAGGTAGGAGAGGCCAAGATTAGAGGGGACTGGTGGGTCAGGGGACCAACCAATTAGGGAAAAACTGGAGAGAAGAGAAGGTCTAGTGAGCTTGGCTGTAGGGAAATGGATGGATCCGAAAGATGTTAAGGAAGGTGACTTCAAACGTGTTCACTTCATTTTACTTGAATCACCAGCCACACACACACTGAAGTCATACTTGCAAGACTTTTCATCTTGTCATATTGCCTGAAAATCAGTACTTTTGTCTGAAAAATGAACTGAGAGAGAGCAGACTCTGTGAATCAACCTCAACCATCCTTCCCCCTGCTGGCCCTTAGTGCACTGGCTCCTAGCTGAACCCGAGGAGTTAACTTTATTGAGATCCAACGGTTTAGTTTCAAACTGGCAATCAAAGTCCTTTTCCATGCAGATCAAGTTTCAGCATGGAGGGTTTTATCCTCCAGAACTCCAGCCAGTGGAGCTCTGTAAAGAAGCCCAGGGGCTCTGCTGGCACTGAGTCTGAAAGATGCTAGTGATGGGCGAGTGTGATGGGTAAGCCTAGCTGAGCTGGGCCGAGAGTGAGGAATTTGGGTCCAGGAATGGAAACGAGTGGTGGTGAAAATTTGTAAGGGTAAGCTTCTTTTTGCTTTTTTTGCTGAGGAAGATTCGTCCTGACCTAACATCTGTGTCAGTCTTCCTCTACTTTGTTTGTGGGTCACCACCACAGCTTGGCCACCATCGAGTGGTGTAGGTCCGTGCCTGGGAACCGAACCTGGATCACCAAAGCAGAGCATGTGGAACTTAACCACTAGGCCATGGGGCTGGCCCCAGGGCAAGCTTTTTATCTGTCCTAGGATACCTTAGAATTTGACCCTAGGTTTATGAACAAGACCATAGGGCTGGGCCATTAAAGGTGAGAAGATGAGAAACCAAATCAGATGATACAGAAGAAAAGTCAGAACCATCAGATTTTGCCAGCCTTTCTAAGTGCTCTACAATTAACCCAGGTGAGCTGATTCTTCAGAAAAACATCATAGCCACGGTGGTGGTAGCAAATTACTACCAGAAGATATGTCAAATACCGTAACTTCCAATGACCTAGCAATGTTACAAGCTGTGAAGAAATCATTCACTCTAATAATAATAACTGTTGAAAGTTCCTCTAGTATCTATCAATATTCACATTACACCGCATGGAATCAAGGTCATAATCTCATACCCTTGAACAGCTTTGCCAAAATATTTAAAAAATTTCTTGACCCAGGGTTTCCAAGGTACATGATCAAATCCTTGACTGTTATAGTATTTATTCCACGCTTACTCTCTTCCTCCAACCTCCTATTCTCCTGGGCCCCTCCCCAGACTGTTTCAAAAGCTTAAGAACAGAAAAGCAATGTTGAAACCCAAATGAAATGCCTTATAATCAATACAAGTTCATCTTACAAACTGAGGTGTTGGGTAAGGGACTATAATTAACTGCCAAACCCCAAAATGTTCCCTGATTGCTACTGACAACTTGGAAGGTCAGGAAATCCTTTGAGCTAAAGAGACTAACAAGTGAAAAATCCCACGTCTCACCCAGCTCCACATCTTGGTCATCAGTGAGCACAAGGATAATGTTGGGTCGGATGTTTTTGCGTTCCTGCTGTAACCGTCCTCTGAACCTCGGGGATCTGACATTTGAACAGAGGCTCCCCAGCAGTTCTGTGCCCAGGACAGCCAAAACCAGCGCACAGCAAGAGTACTTCATCGTGTCTGATCCAATGTCGCAAAATTGACAAAAGGTCTCAGTCTCCTGGTTTCTGCAGGTCTGGGAGGTCAGAGAAAAAGGGAGAGGGAGAGACAAAAATGAAACCCAAACCCCAAACACAGTCGCAGAAAAAAAGCTACGACTAAGAAAGACCTGGCGAGGAAGCTGGCCGAGAAAGGGCTGTGCTTGAGTCAGCGTGGCAAACCCTCACAGGCGGAGGGTAGCTGTTTAAGCACTTGATTATTTTGCAAATTCACTTTTGTGCTTTATTCTTATTCCAACTTTTCCTATTTCAATGCATTGCCAAAGTCTAATTTCCAACACAGAGCTCGAATGTAAAAGCTTTCTGACAGGAGCTAATACCTTGAATTAGGTGTCCTGGTTGAAAAATCAATTTCTATGCTCAGAGGTATTCAGAACATCTGCAGATGGAGTCCTAGAAGGGGGAGAAAAAATACAAAGAAAGCATCAGTCAAGGGTTTTGCTACAGATTTTTGGTCTGAAGTAGTCTCTTGAAACAGCATATTTTTTATGTATATATATATATTTTTAATCTGCACTCAAAAATGGAGAAACACAAGGAAACAACATTCAGAACTGCTAATAAAGGACTCAATACCTTCATTTCATCATTAGCTCCATAAAACGGTGCTAGGGTGTCACGCTGCTCACACTCTAATAGAACTTTAAACATCCCCAAGAAAACTAGTGATGAGTAGGAAGAGCCGGCCTGCGAAACCACAGTGCATTTGGAGAGAGCATCTGGGGCGCGCTTGGCTCTAGGGGGCATGCTGGGGGAGTGTTAACTCACCTGCGTGCGATATTGAGTACTTATCAAGCGGAATGAAAAGCAAAGCTGTCATTTGTCATCTGCATTATGTCACTCACTACCCAGGAGAGTTCTTTCTGCTGACAAAGACTTCAGAGTGAGTGACAGGGACGGCAACCTTTCCCAGACCCAGAAAAGCGCCTAACCGTCCTCCATCAATCACCAGGGGGAAGGGGCGCTTCCTCCTGGCGAGGCTGGTCCCTCGGTCCAGCCGTGTCCTCACACCTGGCGCCTAAGGGGACAGAGTCCTCCCTCGGCTGTCAGCGCCAGCCTCACTATTATCAAGACCTGGTGACGCATGGCCAGCACAGAGGTTGTGCTTTGCTGCAGGTGATCCAAACCCGCAAAGCAGAGTGATGGACGGGCTCTGAGGCTGGTGGTGAGAGGCTCTCTTCCACCATAAAAAACAAATAAATAAAATCTAGAGGGGAGCGCTGCAAAATCTTCACAAATCTGCACAAGAGGAGACTTTTGAAAGGGTTGGAAAAAGCTCCTTTCACTGTAGAACACTAACCTGCAGAAAGCTTTTCTCTCGGACTTCTGAAAGATAGCAAAGGGCTCACTGGAAAAAACTCTTCCTCTTGGATGTCATGTCTGTATGGGAATTTAGGGTGCCCTAAAATTAGCTAGATAGCAGCCCACTTCATTAGCCACTCTGTGCCCCAACACCTGAGGGTCTGTATTTTGATCTGCAACAATAAACCAGTATCAGATACATAAGCATAACGAATTAAGCGTGAGCATTGCAGAGCAGGAAGAAAGGGGCTCCATCGCTCACTGCCATATCTTTAGTTCTGGAGGCTGACAGGGCAGGGAAAGAAGAAAGCCTGTGCGCTGTTTCCCCCTGCCATACACAGTACTTTGTTTTACATAAACACACACACACCCCTATTATTTTAAACTTTATGAGCTGTTTTGTAAACAGGTCTAATGCTTTTCACTCTGCAGCCCGCAATTACTCTGAGAGAGAGAGAGAGAAACTCAGCAAGAAATAGGTTTTTAAACAAATATCTAGTGTCTACAGCAAGGCCCTCCTGACTACATCATCTGCAGAGTAACAAACAAGCCACCTCTGATTGAGCCTGATGGCCTGAGAAAGTCAATATGTAAGGTTCTGGGTCGTTTTTTGGGTAATAACTCGGGGTTATTTCAGTGATTGCTGAGCATGCGGAACGCTCAAAGCCTGCAATTGTTCTGCCCTGACTGGTTTCTGTGCATTTGTTTTAAATCAGGGGCAAATTGATACAAGCATGAAAGAACAAGAAAACGAAAGAAACAAGCATCAAACAACGGTTTTCTCCCACAAAGCATGCATCAGGCTAAACAGTTAAATATAGAAGTTTCTTAGAGGGTTGGTCTGATGAGTAGCAAAACTGTTCACCTATCAAAGCCAGCAAGGGTGTGTGAAAACAGAGTGAGCAGGGGTTTCTCGCATCTGCTATAGTATAAACCAACCTCTGCAGACAGTAGTGACCTGGAAAGTACGGTCAGGCTCAGAGAGGAACCAACAGTGGCACTCAGAGTTTATTTAATCAGCCACACATGAAACTGAAAACTCTTGACAATTAAGATGCTGATAACATTTCCTGGAACCCAATCAACATAACTGGTTATTCTTTTCTTTATCTTATTTACTTTACTTCTTCCTTTAGGAAAAAGAAAATGAGCTTTAATGGTACCTTGTATAAACTACATTGAAAATCACTTCCTAATGAAGAGAAGAGAGAACAGAGTGGATGCTTTCTTTTTTTACCTATGAAGTGACCTTCCTTTCTGGACAATTAAAGGCGCAGAAGAGACCTATATTTCTTCTGCCACCGTTTATTATCAATTCAGAAGATTCATACGTAAAAGCACAGAAATTGAGTGGTAAAGAAAACTGAACTTTCAGACAGGTCCGTCCAGCAGGAGCTCTCCATCCTTTATCCCACCTCCTTCACCAAAACACACAAACACCACTCGGACAAAACCGCGCACAGACAATTCTTTATTCAAAAATGACCTTTTAAAACTTGTCATGCTCTCACCGCCTGGTTTCCAGCTCCAGAAGGAAAAGAAGTAAAGAAGAAGAACAAAAACCTGACAGAGGAAAAGCAGCCCTTGACAAAGGAGACAAGGACGCAATGTTTGAATTGGATACTTTGCGGCCGACAACAAGTGTCCTTAGAGACTAACAACTTGTTTTGAGAAATAGTAGAAAATGGGGGAAACGTAGAAAAAGGTTTTTCTCACACATGGAAAGTAAGCTTGAGGAATGGTGCTGTATTCACGAATTAGGACCAGAATACAAGCTGCCTTTTCTCCAAGCCATAAAATGAAAACACCCTTTACAGCTACCGCCACTGGTGTGGAAAGTTTACAGGGTTTTGTTTGGGGCAGTCAAGCCAAACTATAAATGTGACGTTAGAAGTTTCAAGTCACATATAAAAGAAAAAAAGACTGGGAAGACCTCAATCCAACTGGACGCAAAGTCTAGTTCACATGTGCCCATCTAGCAATACCGCACACTGTATCGAAGCCCTCATTGCTCCAAAAGGTTTCAGGGGAATCTCTGTCCTCATCGAGTTCCCCCCTTGTCTGGGTAGCTGGTGCTGAGCAAGGGGATGGTGGAGATACGCTGAAAAGGTCCTGCTTCGTTTAAAGTATAATCTGGGGCTTTGGAGGGATTCTGAGATCCCTTTGGGGGGTGGGGTTCATGAGGCTGGAACCATTTTGATAAGAATATTGACACATTATTTGCTTTTTCACTTTGTTGACATTTGCACTGATGGTGCAAGAGCAATGCTGGTAAAACTGCTTTCGTCGTAGTAAGAACGAAGGGAGCATCACATATAGTTAAAACAAAAGCCAGTTTCACTTAAGATGAAGCAGTAACATGATCCATTTTATTAAACCTTGACCCTTGAGTACACGTCTTTTCTTTTTAATTTTCTGTTTTATGAGAGAGGAGGTACATAGTAAGCCCTTTGCTGCCTATGGAGGTGTGATGGTGAGAAAAAGCACTGAGTGACTGAATTACAAGAACTAGACACTTTTCTTCTTTCTCACAGAACACTCTTTTTACTTGTAAGAACTATTCGATCTTGGACATTTGGCAGACATTTTCCCAAATAAGGGATGAAATGAGACTGTCGTTTCAAAGAAAACAACTGACAATATTTGTTTTATTTGTTGCCAGTGATAGAAATCTAGCTTTCAAGTTAAAATCAGAATTTTGGACAACTCTTTATCCACCCCTGAGAGCTTGGCAACTTCCCGACCCGTAAACTCTCCTGATGACAATAGCATTGTTATTAACAAGTGCTATTTTTTGATACTGTAAAATAAAACGTGTCAACATTCAGGATATTTGCATAATTCAGTGACCCAATATTTCCCAAATGACCAAATATAATGCTACAAAATCATACATGAGTAAAAAACATTCAATCAGAGTGCAAGATGACCATTGGGTTTTGATGTAACAGGCTATAAAGGTTCACTGATACGGTTTCAGATTTCTTACTACCTCTAACCTTTAAGAAATGAGCAGTTGTCAAGTTTTGGTATAGTATCAAAGAAGATCTATAGGTATCTGAAAAAGCTATTAAAATACTTCTCCCTTTTCAACTGCTTACCCATGTGAGGCTGAATTTTATTCCTATACTTCAATCAAAACAATATATTTCAATAGACTGAATCCTGAAGCTGTTAGGAACATTAAAGAGATTTGCAAAAATGTAAAACAAGGCCACTTTACTCACCAATATTGTTTTGGTTTAGAACACACAGGTATTTTTCATAAAGTATATCATGTAAGTTAGCATATAAAAGATTTATTATTGTTATCTTCAAAAGAATTTAAAAATATTTTTTAAATTTCTCAGTTTTAATTTCTAAGTATCAATAGCTATAATCTACTTAAAAACTCTTCGGAATCCTCAATAAATTTTAATAATATAAAGGGGTCCTAAGCTCAAAGAGTTTGTGAATTGCTGGCCTATACTTTACGTGATTTCATAGTTAAGCCCAGGCTTTTACCTTGAAGGTTGTAGATCTGACCCTATTCACAAACTTCTTATTCACTTTTTTTCTTAAAGCCTTGAAACTGTCCTAAATTCTAAATGGTTGGTATAACAAAGGAATTATTGATGAATGATGATATTTTGTGTGGTTTTTTTAATCTAAAGATAACGCAGAACTTTCCAAATGAAGGCCCACACATCTAAAGTGTGTGAGAGACAGAATCAGAACAGACCACTCAGCACGGACATTCACTTCTCAGGGACGGGGCAAAAGAATTGTTTCTAGTACAAAGCAGTGCCACCCCATAGTTAGGACAGAGGAAAAAGGGACCCCATAACCAAGCATGCCAGCAGCATGCAATTATTCGAAGCTGAATTTAGCCAGAACACACTTAGCTTGTTGTCAGAATGAAACAAAACGGGATTATACCAGCACGAAGCTGGTATCCACATCCTGGCCCCACCCCCACCACCAATCTACATACTCACATTTCTCAAGGTCAGCGTACTCCGTCCTTTCCTCTTAATTTTGGCTTTCAAGTTTCCCATACATCACTTCTTTGCTTAGAGGAAGCCTTCAGGTCGTGCTATCTTCTTTATGAT